GCTGCAGGCAGGGGCTGGGAGCATGCAGAGGGTCACTGTCTCCCTGCTGTGACCCCCCCAACTTCACATCCACTCCAGCTGGGCACGGGGCAGATTCCCCCTGCCCCCCGCAGCCGCTGCCTGCCTGCCCTCTTCCCGGAGCCGTGCCCACGTGGGGCGAGCACGGGGTGGCAGGGAGAGGGCAGCCACAACTGCTCCATCCCCACCAAGAGACCTTCCTGCAGCTGACATGGCTCACGGTACCACGGCCAGCCTGCCACAGGCCTCTCTGCCTAGGCAAGCCTGGGAGGGGAGCTGGGGCAGGTGTGGGCCAGGATAAGGCGCTGAGCAGGCAGGAGATGAGCTAGGGCCTGCTGCAGACTTGGGCAGAGAAGGCAAGGCAGGGGCAGTCAGCTCCTCTCCTTGGTGCAGGCTGTGATCCCCTGTCTGGCCCCGTGTCCCCCAAGCCCCCTCCCAGGCACCGTGGGGCAGGGGGGGAGAGGGGCACCAAGCTGGGGCAGCCGCCCTGGGAGCCCGAGGCACTGCCCTGTCCTCGTGCTGCACCTGCGGCCGTGCTGCAGCCCTGCCTCACGGCAGCAGGACAAGTCCCTCATCTAGCCTGGCCGTGACTCAGCCGGGAGCCCGGTCTCCTCCCAGCGCTGGCCGGCAGCCCAGGACGGGGAGAGCGGGTGCAGAGGTGATGGATGCTCTGCTGACGCTTTGTCTGCGTGAGGAGAGACGGATGCGCCCCAAGCCAGGGGTGAAGGTGGCTGCCAGTCGCCGCTGCCCGGCCCCCAGCCCAGCCCAGCCCCCTCCCAGGGCAGGGCACCGGCTGGGGGCCATGGCTCGCAGGAATCACCCACTACCGTGCTCAGGCCCCAGCGGGTTTCCCTGGGGGAGGCAAGGCAAGATACATGGCACGACCTGGTTGACATGCAGTTGGGGCAGACAGGACTGCGTGGGGGTCCTGCCCGTGCCAAGGGCCAGCCTACGCGTGCCTCTGGGGCGACTCAAAACACCTCATACCCTGGCTGCTCCTCTCGCAAAGCCAGGAGAAAAAGAGGTAACTCAGTCCTCCCCCAGGATTTGCTCCCTGCGCTCCAGGACAGGACTGGGGGCAGGAAAGGTCTCTGCTGGCACGTACCTGCAGCCTGGTGGGCAGCTGGCCAGCGCCTGGTGGGGCGGGTGCACGCATGCAGAGGAATGAGTTTTGGCTGATGGCACACCAGGCAGAGCTCCGGCCCCGGGGCAGCGGCTGATGGCCGGGCTGGGACAACACCCCCAGCTCTCAGCCTGGGGGCAGAGGGCCCGGCTGGGCTGGGGCCCTTCACACACAACCCTGGCAGCCGTCGGTGTGTGAGTGCCAGTGCTGCGCACCCCCTGGGCAGCTACACGACCACCCCCGGTGTGCCTCATCCCGTGGCGGGTGGTCACCCGCTCCCCAGTGACTCACGCTCTGGACACACTGACTCAGCTTTCACGCTGGTTTCCAGCAATTGCTGCTAATGGGAGCCATCTCGGTAATGGCTCTGGAGATGCAGCCAGGAGAGTGGCCGG